TAAAAAATAGCAACTAATAGATAATGGAGAACATGAGGAAAAGTGGGAAACATGGTCCACTACTAATTGATAATGCTGTAAAACTAACAAGAAAACAAAAACAAGTAAAACATAAGTCCACTACTGCTAAAAAGGAGTCACGACCAAATGATGTGCAACTGAACTGTTTTGAAGAATTAGTCAACACTCCCCCTTTCTTCAAAATCATATACGCCCATTTGTAGTCTGAAGAAGTCATGCTTGTTGCGAGGCAGCGATTTCGTAAGAACATCAGCAACTTGATCATTTGTGCCACAAAATTCCATTGAGATTACTCCACCAATGACTAGATTGTGAATGAAGTGATAGCGAGTGTCGATGTGCTTCGTTCTACTGTGAAAAGCAGGATTCTTTGTCATAGCAATTGTTGCCTTGTTGTCACACCATATTTCAGTTGGACCAATCTGCTCCTGTTGAAGATCCGCTAACAATTTTCTTAACCAGACAGCTTGACAACTTGATGTAGTTGCAGCCATGTATTCTGCTTCCGAAGATGACAAAGCCACTATATCTTGTTTCTTTGAACTCCATGAGATTGCTCCAGAACCAAGATTGAAAACATTCCCAGATGTGCTCTTGCAATCATCCAAGCTACCTGCCCAGTCACTATCAGTAAAGCCAACTAACCTGAAATCTGATACTTTTGAGTAAAAAATTCCATAACTTGTTGTGCCAGCAACATATCGCAAAATCCTCTTGGCTGCACCTAGGTGTTGCTTTGAGGGACTATGCATGAACCTTGAAATCAAACTGACAGAGAACGCTATATCGGGCCTTGTGTGCGAGAAGTAATTTAAACCACCAACCAAGCTTCTAAAATAAGAAGCATTTGCTGCACCTGTACCATCTTCGAGTACCAGCTTCTCATTCATATTCATGGGCGTTGGAGATGGATTACAGTTCAGCAAGTTGAACCTCTGCAAAAGTTCAGTAGCATATTTTCTTTGCAAAATAAAAATCCCATCCAGACCTTGTTTTATCTCAAGCCCAAGAAAATAATGCAACATACCTAAGTCGGACATCTCAAATTTACTCATCATGCAATTCTTAAATTTAGCAACAATCGATTCACAAGAGCCCATATATATAATATCATCTACATAAAGACAGACAACAAGAAAATCACCATTACCTCGCTTCTTCACATAGAGTGTAGGTTCATTCTCACTTCTTCTGAACTGGTTCTCTTGAAAAAAAGAGTCAATTTTACTATATCATGCCCGAGGAGCTTGCTTCAGACCATACAATGCCTTTTTCAATCTATATACTTTGCTCTTGCCTTCACTAGAAATGAAGCCTTCAGGTCGGGAAACATATACTTCTTCTTGTAAGTCACCATTTAGGAAAGCAGACTTAACATCAAATTGGTACACAGGCCAACCAAGTTGAGCAGCCAAGGCTAGAATAGTTCTAACCGTTTCAAAGCGAGCTACTGGTGAGAACGTCTCTTCAAAGTCGATGCCTTGTTGTTGGGAGTATCCTTTTGCAACAAGTTGAGCTTTGTGCCTTTTGACGCTTCCATCAGCATTGTATTTTGTTTTAAAAATCCATTTTAGCACGATAACGTTCTTCCCTTCTGGCAAATCAACTAGCTCCCAGGTCTGATTTTTCTCAATGGACTGAATCTCTTCAATCATTGCATTCTTCCACTCTGGTTGCTCTGCAGCTTCTTCATAATACAGTGGATCAACAGCTAACAAGGCAAAACTACAAGCTGAATAAACATCTTTCAGTGATCTGAACTTTGTTGGTGGAGTTTTGCTGGATGATGCCGAAGTTGGAGAATGAGAGCTTGCTGGAGTAGAATTTTTGGTACTTCCATGAGAAGAGAAATCAGTATTATTGCTACCAGGAGAGGAAGGATCCGAACTTCCTGATTCAAGTATATCCATATGCTCCTCTTCTGTGTGAAATGGAATATGGACTGATGAATCTTCCTTCTTGTCATCCACTCCCAAGCTGCTTCTTCATTAAACACCACATTCCTGTTGATAATCACTTTGCCATTAGTAGGATTATATAGTCTATATGCTTTGGATTGAGGACTATAACCAATGAAAATGCATTTTTCTGATTTTTCATCAAGTTTAGAGCGTAAATTAACCAAAGCATAAGCTATACAACCAAAGACTTTCAAGTGCACTCGTGGTTTTCGTCCCATCCATGCTTCATATGGAGTCTGATCCAAAACTGCTTTTGTTGGAGAGATGTTTAAGAGGTACACAGCTGTTGCCACTGCCTCTCCCCAAAAATGAACTGGAAGTCCTCTTGCATTAAGTAAGCTTCTGGCCATCTCAACCACCGTACGATTTTTTCGCTCGGCAACGCCATTTTGTTGTGGTGTGTACGGTGTTGTAAGCTCCCTGCAAATTCCATTCTCTTCACAAAATAAATTAAAATCATTAGATAAAAATTCACCACCACGATCTGTGCGAAGAATCTTTATGTTGCAGCCTGATTGCTTCTCCACGAGTGCCTTGAAATTTCTGAAATTCTCAAAAGCTTCTGATTTAAATTTCAGAAAGTAAACCCAACTCATACGGCTATAATCATCGGTAAATAGCATAAAAAATTGACTCCCATCAAGCGACTCAACTCAGTCTTCATTGGTCCACACAAGTCAGCATGTACAAGCTCAAGACAACATGTAGCCCTCCACGATTGTCCTACTGGAAAGGATTTCCTACTTTGTTTCCCAAAAATGCAACTTTCACACAAATTAAGCTCCCCAATTTCTGGTAACCCAACAACCATATTCTTCTTAGTCAACAATTTTAGCCCATTAATATTTAAATGGCCATAGCGAAGATGCCAAAGCTGAGTTTCATTAACACCTTTAGCAACTAAAGCATTTTTCACAACATTTGAAACATTAAGGGGAAACATGTTGTTCTGTGTCACAGGCACAACTGCAATAGTCTGACCAAATTTTTTATCACTAACAATACATTCTCCATTATCAAACAGAATAGAATAACCACTAGCCATCAATTGTCCAACACTCAGTAAATTATGAGCCAAACTAGGAACAAATTGCACATTACAGAGAAGTTTAACATTACCCTGTATTGTCTTTATGGCTATGGTACCTTTGCCTTCAGCTCGAACTTGCTTGTCATCACCAAGTCGAACTTCACTCTTCTGTGACTCATCGAGGTCTCTAAACAAAGACCTTGTGCCAGACATATGGTTCGAGTATCCACTATCAATGAACCAAACACCATCAGAAGAGTTAGAAATTGGAGAATGAGCCATGAACAACTTACTTTCCTCCTCTTAACTTTCTCTGAGAAATTGGCATGCTTCTGCTCATTTTTTTGCTTAGTCCAGCAATATGATTCAATATGACCGTGCTTTTTGCAATATCGGCATTGCATGTCATTCTTGGACTGACGTGTCTCAGTAAATTGACCTCTGCCTCTACCGCGTCCTCGACCTCGACCACGCAATCCACCTCTTCCTCTACCTCTGCCAAAAAAAATTGCCGATTTTTTCTCTGGAGAAAGATGCCTCCTCTTTCACCTGGAATGCTTTTTCTTCAATTTTCTCATGAGACCTGTTTAACCTATGTTCATGTGCTAACAAGGAACCCATTAATTCATCAAATGAATAATCAGATAAATCCTTGGATTCTTCAATTGCAGCAACCACCTGCTCAAATTTATTGGTTAAACCTCAACACCTTTGCTACAACAATTTCATCACTTACAATCTCCCCAAAAGATTTCATGAGATTAACAATGGAAGAGACTCTAAACATATAATCTTGCACCGATTCATTATTTTTCATGCTCAAAGTTTCAAAATCACGACGCAAAGTTTGCAATTTTACTGCAATTACCTTCTCATCTCCCATATACTCCTGCTGCAAAATTTCCCAAGCTTCATGGGAAGTCTCTGCTGCTGAAATTCGGGGGAAGATATCATCATCAAGGGCTTGTTGAATCAGAAACAGTGCCTTCGAATCCTTCTTGCGATTTTCCCGCAGCCATTGTGCGGCCTTCATCCGGGTCTGGAAATCCATTCTCCACCAAGTCCCATAATTCCTGAGACTCGAAGAGAGTCTTCATCTTAAGACTCCAAAAATGATAATTCACCCCTTTGAAAATTGGAAGATGTTGGGAGTTAGTGTTAGAGTTTGAATTTGCTGCGATTTTTGTCTCTGGTTTGTGTTTAGAACTTTCTCTCTAACTTAACTATTTGGTGCGGAAGAGTTAGAGTGAAACCTGGAAATAGAAAAGAATGAAGATTTATGTTGTAACCCACTTCTTTTTCTAATTGCTCTGATAGCAAATATGTTGGAAATAAAGGCAGAAGCTATAAAAGAGATATACGAAAGAAAGCTTTTTTACTGCTCAATTCACTTCACTAGAAAACAAGAACACCTACTGCCTTTTATAGGCTTACAATTTAACTGGTAAGTCTAAAAAATAGCAACTAATAGATAATGGAAAAAATGAGGAAAAATGGGAAACATGGTCCACTACTAATTGATAATGCTGTAAAACTAACAAGAAAACAAAAACAAGTAAAACATAAGTCCACTACTGCTAAAAAGGAGTCACGACCAAATGATGTGCAACTGAACTGTTTTGAAGAATTAGTCAACAAATATTGCCCCTCCTTCATCGACAGGAAGTTTAATATCTAGGCTTCAAGATTCTGGAAAGTTTGTAATTCAGGATGAAACTCGAAATCGTACTTTATGGCAAAGCTTTGATCATCCTACCGATTGTCTTTTGCCTGGTATGAAGCTTGGTTATAACCTTACAACAAAGCAGAATTGGACTTTAACTTCTTGGTTGAGTAGTTATATTCCGGCCTCGGGGGCTTTTACTTTAAGTTTGGAGTCCATTCAAGATGCATTTCAGTTGGTTATACGTCTAAGGGGCCGGGTTTATTGGACTAGTGGCTCTTGGATAAATCAAGGCTTTCCATTCTTCACTGCTTTGAATGATTCTTTTTACAGATATCAGTATAATCTCAGCTTGGTGTCTGAAAAAGATGGCGTGTTCTTCCAATTTGACGCTCCAAAAGGAAGTTTCCCAAGTCTTGAATTCTCTTCGAATGGGTTCTATTATTGGCGGTTGTGAAGACGGTCTTATATACGCACTTTATAATGAATTTTGTTATGGTTATGAAAGTGACGATGGTTGTGTCTCTACTCAGTTGCCTGAGTGCCAAAAGGATGGAGATAAATTTGACCAAAAGAGTGGAGACTTTATTGATAGATCTTATTCTAACTGTTATGATAATGCAAGCATTAGTCTTGGTGATTGTATGCAGAAGTGCTGGGAGGACTGTAGTTGTGTTGGCTTCACCACCAGCAGCGCTGAAACAGGCTGCATAATTTGGAGCGGAAATGGAGAGTTTCAAGTCTATGAGAGTGGTATCCCAGTGAAAAAATATGTTCTGGTTTCATCGAAATCATCTAAAAGTAAATCTTTATATCAGGAATACAATTGTTTATTAACTTATATAGATTGTACTGGTCAAGGGTCAACCATATAGCATTCATTAATGCTATGGGTGCAGGAAAACAAAAAACTTGGATATGGATAGTGATTATTGTAGCTGTTGTTATCCCTTTGCTTATATCTGGTTTCATCTTCTACATTATAATGAGAAGACGCAAACTACAAGGTAAATCTCCAAAAAGTGATTTAGTAACTAGTATGTTGTTTATCAATTATGTGGATCATGTATTTATATCTACAAACTTCTCTTGCACAGATGAGAAAGAAAAGGAGGAAGAGTATATACGCAAGTTGAAAGCGTCAGACAGCTTCAACAACACAAATTTGAGAGAAGAAGATGGAGGGGAAGTACATAATTTGAAGATATATAGCTTTGGATTCATATTGGCAGCCACAAACAACTTCTCGAGTGAAAACAAGCTCGAAGAGGGTGGTTTTGGACCTGTTTATAAGGTATATTTACACCATGTTATATGTGCCCGAAAAACTTGCTTAGTACCATCACAGCATAACTGAATTACCTTTAAAAAAAATCTATGAAAGGGAAAATTTCCAGATGAGAGAGAGGTTGCAGTCAAGAGACTTTCAAGGACATCAGGTCAAGGGCTTGTGGAGTTCAAGAATGAGCTTATACTAATTGCCAAAGTTCAGCACACAAATCTAGTTCGAGTTATAGGATGTTGTATTCATGGAGATGAAAAAATGTTGACATATGAGTACATGCCCAACAAGAGCTTGGACTTCTTCCTATTTAGTTTGTTATTATTCCAAAAAAAGACGTAATCATCAAGTAGTTTTCGAAATTTTTGATGAAATGCTTTCTGTCTTTGGCAGATCCTGAAAGAAGGAAGCTACTAGATTGGCAGAAACGTTTTGACATTATTGAAGGAATTGCTCAAGGATTGCTCTATCTTCACAAATACTCAAGAATGAGAGTGATACATAGGGATCTTAAAGCTAGTAATGTGCTGTTGGATGAAAACATGAATCCCAAGATAGCTGATTTTGGTTTGGCAAGAATTTTCAAACAGAACGAGACGGAGGCAGTGACTCGCAGGGTTGTAGGAACATAGTGAGTTGAGCTTGTGTTATTTCTTGATATCAACTCACAAAACATGTAGAATATTCATACTGGTTGAGTAGGAAATTTCAGTCTTTACACAGTAGCTACATGGCTCCCGAGTTCGCCATTGAAGGAGCATTCTCAATCAAGTCTGATGTCTTCAGTTTTGGAGTCTTAATGCTTGAAATTGTGAGTGGTCATAGAACTACTAGCTTAAAACAATTTGATCGCACACTCAACTTATTAGGTTATGTAAGTTTTTTTGACACCTTTTTTAAGTTTTAAGTATTAAAATTACGAAATTTGAGATAATTGATCATTCTGGATTAGGCGTGGGAACTATGGAAGGAAGGGTGTGCATTGGAATTGAAGGATCCAACTCTTGGAGATCTGTGTGACACTACACTGTTATTACGAGTTATTCATGTCGGACTATTATGTGTACAAGAAGGTGCAACAGATAGGCCAACAATGTCTGATGTTATCTCAATGCTTGGTAATGAAGGTATGTTATCTCAATGCTTGGTAATGAAGGTATGGCAATGCCTCGTGCGAAACAACCAGCATTTTTCACAGGAAGAAATGAAGCTGAATCAAATTCATCTGGAACCTGTATACGGTAGAAATCGGGACTACTCGATTTATAGGCTCGAGAGGTCGTCCAAAGCCCGATTCCGGGTAAGGTCGAGTTCTAGCTCGAGGGACTAGATCCGAGTTCGAAGACAGAATGCAATGCCCGGAGATAGGAGTACGAGGAATACCGAAGCCGAGTATGTTCGACCTCGAAATAGTACCGTTATGGATTTGTAACAGAATGAGCTAGATTCCTACCACGTCCCCAAGATCATGGCGCAAATCCCGGAATAAGATCGTACGATTCCGTACTAGGCGGTTAGACAGTTGTATCAAGAATATTCCTTGCTGTAAATAGAAAGATACCTTATTTAGGGTTCCTCTATTATATAAAGGGGACCCCAATCATTTTGTAATATCATCTAATCATTGAGAAACGAATATACTCTCTACTTTTTGCTTACTGTTCATCAGAATTGTCCTTTACATTTATTGTTCTTACTTTATTGTTGTTAATCCATCTCGAGGTTACTGAGCTCGAGATCACTACTGCTGAGTAACATTGGTTTGATTCATTTATTTCTTTCATTTCTACTTCATATTTCTTGATTATTAATTGGTATTGAACTAAATCACGTATCATTAAAATCACAAATCAAGTTTAATTGTTACTCGTATTTTCGAGGTAAACACTTTGGCGCCCACCGTGGGGCTAAAGATAATAGTGATTATTTCAGTACTGATTCTAATAACACCACAATTATGAGGATGCTCGAGGAACTCACCAAGAGAATCGATTCCGGGGAGAAGAAGATCGAGGATAATGACAAAAAAGTGGAGACTTATAACTCCCGTGTTGATCAAATACTGGGGGCACCCCCGATCTTAGAAGGACTAGATTCTAAAAAGTTCGTGCAAAGACCCTTTACCCCTAGTGCGGCTCCGAAGCCAATTCCTAAGAAGTTTGCCCGAGATTCCCAAGTATAACGGGACGATCGATCCGAATGAACACGTCACCTCGTATACATGCGCCACCAAAGGAAACGACTTGGAAGATGACGAAATTAAATCCGTACTGCTGAAGAAGTTCGGGGAGACTCTATCCAATGGTGCCTTGATTTGGTGTCATAACTTATCCCCTAATTCTATTGATTCATTTGCTATGCTTGCAGATTCTTTTGTAAAAGCACACGCCGAAGCCATTAAAATTGCAACGAGGAAGTCGGACCTTTTCAAGGTAAGGCAGAAAGGAAACGAGATGCTCAGGGAATTCGTATCTCGGTTCCAAGCGGAGAGAATGGATTTGCCTTTGGTCACCGATGACTGGGCCGTTCAAGCTTTAACTCAAGGTCTCAAAACTCGAAATTTTATAGCTTCGCATCAGTTGAAGCAAAGTTTGCTCGAGTATCCGGCTGTCACTTGGGCCGACGTGCATAATCGGTACGAGTCGAAGATTAGAGTCGAATATGATCAACTGGGGACTCATTTAGGGTTCATTTATCCTAGCAGGCCCGTGGGTAGGATCAAAGGGGACGTCGATAAAGAGTCGAGGTCGAATAGAGATGGATATTAGCCGTACAATAGAGACCATAGAGGTAGCGGGTCTAGGCGAAGCTTCGCACAAAATGAGAGGAGAAATGGTTGAGGTCAAAATTCACGAGGGCCTGATGCCGAGGAAAATCATGTTAAATATCCAAAATCCGAATAAAGGTACAACCCCATTCCGATTCTCTCTATTTTTTTGACTAACACTTACAGCCTATCAACAAGAATCGACACGAAGATTTGAATCTTAAAGCACGCATTGCACTCTTCTTTCCTTGGACCGATTTTTGCCCTAAATGGGTTTTTCCGACAAGGTTTTTAATGAGGAACCCATTGTTCGTGCTGACTTAGGGCAGTTCAACGGTACCCGAGGTTCCCTGAAATAATCCTCGAGATCTAGAAGGCATTACCCTCGAATGTCCGCTTTATTGCGAGGAAGTTACTTCATGATAATGAGGACTTGATAGGAAAATGTTGTAAGGGTCAAACGGTCAGATGAGTCGTGCCCATATAAGTTACTCGAGCCCTAACATCAAACATGCGCACATGTATAATCGTGTATTGAGAGAAATATCTTTCCTTGCTGATATCCCATGCTTCTAGAAAAAATTTCTATTTCATACTCTTGATTTATTATATAAACAGGCTTAAAGACCGATCACAACGGAAGTTTAAACTGCTAACATTTCGAGACCATAAGACCTTAAAAGCGATCCTCGATTTTATGGGCCACGACCACCCCACTCGGGGACTAATTCTTCGGTCAAGCTCGAAGTGAAACAGAAGATAAGCCTAAAGGGAAAGTTTTGAAGTAAAAAAGCTACAGCTGAGTTAACACGGATCGAGGGCGTCCGAAATCTGTAACAAATACAAAAGCCCAAGGGCTATCTTAACCCGAGTTCGAGCAAACTCTCATTCGGGGACTATCTACGAAGCCTAAGGGTTAACTTTACTTCGAGTTTGAGCAAATCCTCGCTCGATTATAAAAGCCCAAGGGCTATCTTAACCCAAATGCGAGCATACCTCGAACACTCGGGGACTACCTGCTCGAGCTATCCAAGTTCGAAATCATAAGACCTCAAAGAGGCACCCCCCGATATATAGGCCAAGGCCATCATACTCGGGGACTAACCTTTCGGACAAGTTCGAAAGGCTGCCGGGAAACAAGTCCAAGAGACATATGAAGGCTACGACCATATTAAAAGGCTACGACCATATTAAAGACTACGGTCATGTAAAAGGCTACGACCGAAATAATGCGGCTCGGAGACGTCCGACTTCCGCCATAAATTAAAGGCCTTCAAATACTTCGAAAAATCGGTTAAACTCGGCTACCTTCAGCAAAAGCAAAAAAGGCTTCGATAAAATTAGCCCTCGAATAATTTAAAGGTTTCGATAACATCAACCTTCGAAAAAGCTTCAATAGGCATTAACACGAATGGATTCTAATCGATTGAATCCTCGAAAAACCCAACGGGTACAAAAAACACATGCTAAGGCATAAAGAAATTTTCAATAAGTCTTTTAGCCAAAAAAGGGAAAATTTATAGCCGCTTTAGAGGCCGAATCGGCCCGATATAAAAGAGCCTAAGGGCCAACCCAAAAGAGCCTAAGGGCCGATATAAAAGAGCCTAATGGCCAATATAAAGAAGCCTAAGGGCTAACTCTATTTCGGGCTCGAGCAAGTCCTCACTCGATCATAAAAGCCCAAGGGCTTTCTTAACCCGAGTTTGAGCGAACCCTCACTCGGGGACTATCCATAAAGCGTAAGGGCTAACTTCATTTCGAGTTCGAGCAAGTACTCACTCGACTACTAAGCCCAAGGGCTACCCGAGTTCAAGAAAATTCTCACTCGGGGACTATCTTTCGAGCCCAAGGCCCCCTCGTCTCAAGTTCGAGCATGTCCTCACTTGGCCATAAGGCCTAAAGGATATTTTCATTTCATGTTCGAGCGTGCACTCACTCAACTATCAAGCCCAAGAGCTACCTTACCTCATCGACTATTGAGCCTAGGAGCTACTCAAACTCAAGTTCGAATGGCCATTCGGGGACCATTGATCAGAAACGTTCGAGGGTAGAATTTATTATCGGTCATTACCATCTCAAACTTTGGACATTCAAAGGGAATTTTATGCTAAGGCGCTTTAACCCGCGCAAAAGGATAATAGATTCAGAAGCCATAGAAGGAAAAAGGGGCTTTGTATAACCCTCTTTTCAAGAAGTTATAGGTCACGATCGAGAGGTCCTCGCAAGGGCCGATCAACCTCGAAAGCAAAAAATTACTAAGAGCACGAAACCTAAGCAGCACGGTCCTTATTGGCAGGAGTGTCTTCGCCCTCAGAATCTTCCCCGCCACCGGACTCACTAATGGTTCTCGAAGTTTTCCTCGGGAAAAGCCAACTTCCAAGCTTTCGTTTCTTCAGTCGTTTGTGTCACGATGATGATGTCGTGACAAATCAGGGTAAAAATCAAGGACTCAATTCATTTCTGGTCGTTATACTTTAAGAAACGCGGGGGCTATCTGTATACAGTAGAAATCAGGGCTACCCGATTTATAGGCTCGAGAGGTCGTCCAAAGCCCGAGTCCAGGTAAAGTCGAGTTCGAGCTCGAGGGACCAAATCCGAGTTCGAAGACAGAATGCAATGCCCGAAGATAGGAGTACGAAGAATATCGAAGCCGAGTATGCTCGACCCTGAAATAGTATCAACAGAATGAGCTAGATTCCTGCCACGTCCCCAAGATCATGGAGCAAATCCCGGAATAAGATCGTACAATTCCGTACTAGGCGGTTAGACAGCTGTATCAAGAATATTCCTTGCTGTAAATAGAAAGATACCTTATTTAGGGTTCCCCTATTATATAAAGGGGACCCCAATCATTTGTAATATCATCTAATCATTGAGAAAAGAATATACTCTCTACTTTTTGCCTACTGTTCATTAGAATTGTCCTTTACATTTATTGTTCTTACTTTATTGTTCTTAATCCATCTCGAGTTCACTGAGCTCGAGGTCACTACTGCTAAGTAACATTGGTTTGATTCACTTGTTTCTTGCATTTCTACTTCATATTTCTTTATTATTAATTGGTATTGAACTAAATCATGTATCTTTAAAACCACAAATCAAGTTTAATTGTTACTTGTATTTTCGAGGTAAAAAGAACCAAAGCAGGACAATGTTCGGTTAATGATTTGTCCATCACTGTCCTTGAAGCAAGATAAGACTTCTGACACATTCTGTTGCTGTAATTGGATTGCAGATAGATCATCACTTAAGTTTCATCTGCTCATTGTGCAGAACACAGTAACTATACAAGAAAAACATGTGTCCTTGTGGTATGAATCAATTAACTTTTATTGTAAAATGACCTGCATCTATAACCCATCTGCATTGACAATAATCAAATCAATTGCAGAAAAGTTAATACATAGGTCATTCTATATGTTAATGGTGCCATGTGTAGAAATTTAATGATACTCACAGCAGCACTAGGATTTGAAACTTAAACATCTGAAAGACATGCTGGTTTAATCTTGTGCTAGTTAAATTTGAAAGTTAATGACATTAGTCAACTTTTATACTATCTATTTTGAAGGTCTAAAAGCAAATTCAACATGCTTCTGAAATATTAGGACTTGGGCATAACAAGGTTGGCTCCATGCGTCGATCAACTTAGCTTCTCATTCTTTGCTTATGCTCCTTTAAATTCTCGAATGATCTTCCTCAAATCCTCATTAGTCACCAAAAGATTGATCAGAAAAACAAATACAACATGCAGTTTAGATCAGATTTATAATCGGATAACTAAATTGGTAGGATTCTGATGTTTGTTGTGTTAGGAGTAAAAATTGGTGAGTGTATCACCAATGCAGTGGGTTCAGTCCTA